CTATTTATTGAGTAAAATATAAAACAAATCTGGCTTCCTAGTGACTTTGGCACCAGCTTTTGTATTTAGCCTCAATGAAATACTCAATCTGAATACTATGTGAGTTCCTCAAACACATCATGCACATACTCTCCTCCTTTTCCTCTATTTGGAACATTTGTCCAGTCCCTCCCAGTTCAACCTGGTCTTTCTTGCTAGGGCTCTAGTTCTAATTCCAGGCAACTGGTCACCTGATACCTGACTTCTGTCATTATATATTAATTTACATTCTCTGTGACTAAAATAATAAAGCCTTAAGGTATGCTGTCTTCTTTTGTCTAGTGTTGTTCACTCAGCCTAACTTTTTTTGAGGTTTAACCATATTACTGCATGTATTGAGAGTTATTTCAATTTTTTTAAAATTGTGTGTGTGTGTGTGTGTGTGTGTGTGTGTGTGTGTGTGTGTCTGGACACATGTGGAAGTCAGAGCACAACTTGCAGGATTTTGTTCTCTCCTTCTACCACGTGGAGTCCAGGAATGGAACTCAAGTCATCAGGTGTGGCAGCAAGTGCCCTTACCCTCTGATCCAATTTGCTAGCTCCATGAGCTCGTTCTTTTTTATTGAAGAGAAATAACCTATTGTGTGGATATATAGTCAGGTACCACTTAAATCAGTGACAGACCACCCTGTGGTGCCTAGTTTTAATTGTCAGCTTGAAAAAAAAAAGTAGTTTAATCTGAGAAGGGATATCTCAATGATGAAATGTTTAGATCATGTTGGTCTATGAGTATGTTCTTGGGGGATTCTCTTGACCTATTAATTGACATGGGCAGCAACAATCCTTATCACGTTGGCCTATGAGCATGTTCTTGGGGGATTCTCTTGACCAGGTTAATTGACATGAGCAGCACCATTCCTTATCATGTTGGTCTATGGGCATGTTCTTGGGGAATTCTCTTGACCATATTAATTGACATGGGCAGCACCATTCCTTATCATGTTGGTCTATGGGCATGTTCTTGGGGGATTCTCTTGACTGTATTAATTGACATGGGCAGCACCATTCCTTGTGTTTGGGTCCTGGGCTGTACAAAAGAAGAAAAAGTGAGCTGAGAGTGAGCGTGCATGCAAGCACTCTCTCCCCCACTTTAGACTGTGGGTGTGTTGAGCTGCTTCTAGTTCCTGCTACCCTGGCTTCCCCACAGTGATGGATTTCCCACAATGATGGATGACAGCCTGAATTGCAAGCTAAACAAGTCTTTCTGCATTAAGTTGCTTTTGTCAGGATAGTCACAGAAAGTGGGAAAGAAACTAAACCAAGCCCCACAAATCCATGATCCTAGTGATATCATGGACCTTTAGCTTAAATATACCCTACGATGTTCACATAATGAAAAAACTAACTAATGACACGTTTCTCAGAACATACTCCATTGTTTGGCAAAGTATGATTACCAGTGTCTATTTCTTCATTCATTTCTTGGCAAACTGTTGTATTGTTTCGAGTCTTTGATTATTTCTAACAAAGTTACTATGAAGATTAATGCACAAATCTTGCATGGATGCATGGTTTCTTTTTTTTTTTCCAGCAAATATCCAGGAGTATATCAACTTGATCATACAGTAGGTGAACTGGCTGAATAATGTTCCCAAATCTGTCCACTGGAGCTTCAGAGTGTGGCTTTATTTGGCAGCAGTCTGCAGATATAATCACTTAGGATGGGGCCACACCAAGGTATGATACATACTAACTCCAATGACTGGTAGGCACCCTTATAAACATGCCAAGTGAAAAGTGCAGAGAGACCCAAAAGAGAAGGTTGTGTAACAACAGAGGTTGTCATGATGCAACTATAGCAAGTGCAAACAATGGCTGTCAGCAGCTACCTGCAGACCCTGAGCTTCCAGCCTTTGAGTCCTTGTACTTCAAATGCCTTCCACATGCCTTCCATACTTCAGGCCATCCCCTGCTATCACTAGCTATGGTTTCCCCCTGCCTCTCTCCCCTGTGAACACAGTCAAGGACTCATTCTGCTCTGCTCTCTGTAGGGCAACAATTTGTTCATCTGCTTCCTCGGACTTGCTGTCCACAATACTCCACTTCCACTCAGTGATCTAGGGAGCTGACTTCTGTGACTTCCTTGATTGCTGAATTTCTGCTGGGTTTGGCCAGTGAGAAGTCATCAGAGTAGGCAGACAACAAAAGCTCTTTATTCGGTTGGTCTCTTCCCTGGCTGGGTCAGTTGCTCTTAGCTGGTCTCCTGTCCTTTAGATGTCCCCCACCCCCAAGGACTCAGCTCTCAGTAGACTCCTACCACCCTTTCTACCCTCGTTCTCTGAGGCCTAGGTGCAGAAATGACACAGGGTCTAGCCATCAATGTGGCACTTTGCTACCTGATGTGGGCTCCTTTTGCTTTGCCTGTACTTGGTAAATGATCACTTGGTTAAATTTTCATTCCAACTACTTTCGCCCATTCTTGCTGAGGTCTTGATTCTTTCAATGCTTAAAACAACTCATCAATTTCGTCTCTAACCACAGCCCATGCATCAAGTGAGCTTTAAATGCCCACATTTTCTTAAGCATTTTCATTTACACACTTCAGGTTCCAAACAGTTCTATCAAGTTTCTAAAGACTTCAAATACTATATGCCTTTTAAACTCATCCTTTCTTCCCTTCTTGTTTCCTTCCTTCTTCTCCCCTGATCCCATTCTCCCTCTCTGTCTCTGTCTGTCTGTCTCTCTCTGTCTCTCTGTCTCTCTCTCCCTTCTTTCTTTAGCTCCCTTCTTTGAGAATGTTAATGGTGGTCAGAGTCTAGATGAAGTGTTTCCAGGTTCTTGGCCTCCCTCAAGAATGAAATAAAAACCCGCACAGATTGAAAAGTGGTAAGGAAGCTTTTTATTCTGAGCAAAGCGATGGAACATATTGAAAAGAACTAGAGTGAAGGGACTGATGGCAAGTCAGACCCTCAAGGGCTCAAGTTACTGCCTGGAGTGTCTTTTTATGGCATCTGAAAAAAGTGAGGAACTGGTAACTGGGATGGTGAGCATTATGTTTAGAGGATAATTTACTGTGTTGAAAAAACTTGTAAAAACAAAATTGTTTTGAGCTTGCAAGCCACGAGGAAGTTGCTCCTATCTTGAATGCACCCTGTCAGCCAGCTTGCCCAAGATGGACAACTTCCCAGTGTAGTTGGGCTATTCTTGGAAACTGCTGATTGTTGTAAAATTTTTCACTGCCTCAGCTATTCTTACAAGGTAATGGGGTCACAAGATTCACAGGCTAACTGCTAAGTTCCGCTTTTGTATGAACCCCTTGTTTGCTTGGATAGCTGAGGTGTTTGCTGGACATCTGTCACAAAATCAAGCTTTTGCCTGCACCTAAACTAGGTATGAGTTAACTCGGTCCCCCAAAATTATAACTTTGTGGGTTTTGCCTTAAATTCCTTGGACTAACAATAGTCAAGGCCTTATCTAGAGAACTCTCTGGTTTGGTCCTGGCCAGTTTTTGTTGGTTTATTTTGTTTTGCTTTGCCTTGTTTAATGAAAAGCCTCAACATTTACTAAAAATGTGGAGTCAGACTGGTGAATTTATCGAATGACCCCAGACCCACAACTTACTAAGGGATGTAGTTTGGGTGGTTCTCAATTTTGAGTGGAAGATTGGGTGATATAAAAATTTTTCCAATGCACATGTCCCTTCCCATAATTCATCTGATTTTAATTATATGCACACCCAGTTGTGCATAGGTATAAGATGATAAATAGGAGAGTCTTTCTAAAAGTTCAGCTTGAAGACCGTTTTGCCTTATTGCACATAAACTCAAATCTGGTTTGGTCCAGAGGATTGTGGAACAGAATTGATCTAAGTTTGTTGTTAAGGAGAGGAGAAACCTATCCCATTGTTCAGAGAGGCGTGTGTAAGCATCCTCTGTGCAGGTAAGGTCTTGGGCTGCCAAGTGCACTATTATTATAAAGGGGTGTATGTGTAGCCCAGGTACAGTGGGATGTCAGGATGCTAAGCCACTCTCTATGAGTGTTTGTCTCAGCAGAAGACCTTGAAGTGTTTATTAAGTGCCTGGAAATGTGGTGTTCAGGAGACTCAGAGAGTCAATGCAGTCAGTTCTTCAAGATGCTCTCAATCAGGTGAGACAGATAAGTAAACAGCTAGCCCAAAGCCAACAGGAGAAGACAGCTGTATGCAGATCCACAGGTTCAGAGTCCTGCCTAGGGCATTCTTGGTGGGGGCAGGAGACACTCCCAGTGACCCACACTCTGCAATCTTGCCCTGAGTCCCGCTTGGAGCCTGCTCTTCTGGCTGTTTCCTCCCCACACCCTCACAGCTCCCAGAGGTGGATATTTACAACAGGTTAGACCGTGCTAAGCACTTCACATCCGATAGCTCATTTAATCCCTTCTGAGCATCATCCCACAACGAGCTAATGTTTTTTTCTCTCCATTGTACAGACAAAGGTTTAGGGAAAGCTAGTCACAGTGCAGGCAAGTTACCTCCATCCCCTTCCCATGTCTCAAAAACCTGAAACGGAAGTCCAGAAGAAGCATAATCATTCTTTTTCTCAAGGACTAAAAATTCCACCATGGCTCTCTGCCTCTAAGCCCTATCGTTCTGGGAAGACATGAAAAACGGTAGCTCTTCTTGGGTCTTTAATGCTGAATAGGATATGCGGTGTCACAGGCCAGGAAGCTGCCCTCACCTCTCTTCATTACACTAATTGCTCTGAGGATGAAATATGACTTGTCTCCCTCCTCCCTTATCCTCCTCCTAGCCAGAGCCCTGCCACTTTAGAATATTATCCACGTGGATCAGAGAAGGCTCCCCAGCCTCATTAGACAGCGGCTGAACTTCAGATCCTAGCAAGGAAAAGACTTAGCCATGTTGCCTCATTTCCTAGTGTGCCGGCTGGTTGCTGTTCTAGCCAGGCACACATGCTCTCATATAGGCCTTGCATTCTAACCTTTGTCTCTTACAACTTCCTGGCCCAGGCAGTAGCTGCTTCCCACCCACCCACCCACCCATCACCGACGCGTGGCATGATCTTCAGAGCCCACTCCAGTTCCTCCCGTCTCTCTCCCCTTTATTCTCCCTGCCCTGCTTCTCTCCGGAGATTAACATCAGTAACCAGATCTGTGATCTAATTGGGCCACATGGATTGCACCTGTCTGCCACCATGGACGCCAGTCAGCTTAATCGGGGCTTAGCCTTCCCACCGTAGGCACTCTTCCCACCGTAACGTGGCTCTGAGGCCAACGGAGAGAAAGCCACCGTTGGGGGCTGCCGACCCATCGATCGATCGGTCTGCTCTGCTCCTCACAGCATGCCTGTTGTGCATATTTTCAGGCATGTGACCTCTACACATACTTACACCTGCTAAAGACTGGAGGTACACACTGCGCCTTCTCTCCTCCTACTCTCCAAGCGCCTCTTACTCCTTCAGTCTCCCTTCCCAGCCAGACAGCACCTCATCTTTCCTTAACCCCTGCACGGAAGGCCTCCAGCCCCAGAACGTCTCAAAGACTCTCACCGTGGCAGAAGCGCACAGACCAGCTCACAGAGCTCAAGGCTTCCTTCACCCTCCACCAGAAAGATGTAGAAAGTTAGAGAGGCACTGTGCTGCCGGTACTTGTTGGTTTTGTAATCGGCCAAATACTTAAGAAGTACGGGTCCTCCGAGGTCGTATGGCCTGTCCCCCCTCCCCGTTAGGACCCCTCTTGCTGTCTTCCCTCTTTCGTGTTTTACCATCTAATGCCAACGTCTTGCTTAGGGTGGGTCTTGTACGGAAATGCTGCCGTGTGTGTTGAATGCTCGCAGCGGAGTTAATGCTGGTTATCTGAGGGGGAAGGTGGGCAGTTAGGAAGACCGAGTCTGGTCAGTTTGGGGAGCTTGGTGTCTTGTCTGTTTGTTGTCTTGTCTCTACTCATTTAGGGAGTAAGTTTTGTGGAATTAAAGAGTAACCAATGACCTCTCTGGCCGGGTTTCTCAACTCTGCACAGGGATAATCTATTAGATAAAGATGATCTAAGGAAACAGAAGCCTGGGGTTATTTTAAGTCAGGACAAAGCTGGTGACTTCACCAGACAGCCTTTTTTTTTTTTTTTAACTCCTCTGCTGGTCTCCAAACCCTTGCAAATCCAGTTGGCAGCTTTCTTCTCCCTGAGAGGATCAGCTTGCCCACCCTTGGGGCAGGGCGAGGGAGGGGGGAGAAGGTTGGGTACTCAGCCGACAGGCAGCCACGGGCCTCCTCAGCCCTGCCTCTTCTAACCCTAAAGGCAGGAGTGTTTGGGATCGCACAGGGCCGGGCCCCTCTTCCTCCTCCCTCCCCAAGGCAGTGTAGGCAGGGCGGGGAAAACTCTGCTATTTGTGTCTCCACGCCCAGAGCCAGTGCCGTTCACAGTGTGGCGACCAGGGAGGCGAATTCATCTCCAAGGCTCCCGGGTAGTGTGGTCCTCGAGAAGGCTAGAGGCTGCTCTTGCATCCTGCACCGAAGCCCAGTGCAGGGGACACGATTGCGGCCCCCGTGGGTGCCACCTAGAGTGCCTGATGGTGAAATGGTTAGCGATGCTGCTGCTGCTGCTGCTGCTCTGGATGCAGCAGCTGCTGCTGCTTGGGGCTCACCCAGGCAGCGCCCAGGATTTGACCCTCACCCCGGAACCGGCCCTCGAGTGGCTAGGTGAGTGTCCCCAGCGCCGGGGTTGGGGCAAATTGGCACTCGGGAGTCAGGGGCAGGAAACGGATAGGGGTTGAGCAAGAAGAGCAAGCAAGAGCAAGTCCGAGTTTGTATTGCGGTCGCTTGTGTACTGTCCCGAGGCAGATGGGACAGAATCGTCCCTTCGGCTCTCCCATTGGCCTCCGAATTAGGGCGCGGTGAGAGGCAGGATCTTGCTCTCCAGGCTTGCAGGTCGTACTGGACTTGGGAGGGTAAGAATAGCTTCAAAATGTAAAGTTTACAAGAGTTGTTTAGGAAAGTCACCTTTCAGATAAAGCTGACAAAAAGATGTCTCATTCCATTCCCTTTCAAAGCTAGAACTTGGCTCACCGTGTGCACAACACTCTACAGATGACCCCCAAAACAGGCCTGTCTGCTCCGCCCCTCGGGAAGGCGGGGCACCGCGTCGAGTCTCTCAGCAGAGTGAACCGCATTGAGATTTGTGTAGACATGAGCTACCTTCGGCTCCTCGGTTTCTCTAGGCTGAACAATGGATCTACAATATTCATGAAACCACTGAAAATTAAGTTACACATCCCAAAACACGTGCACCAACTGCTAAATTCAGCATAGGTTTGAGCGCTAACCACATACAGTAAGACTCAGAAGTGAACGTGTAAGAAATCCAAGCAAAGATCAATGCCCTCAAGGACCAGCTCAGAAGCCAGTCTCTGAGACACGGCAGGTGTGTCCCAGAAGGCATGATTGTGTGGTGATAGAAGCAAGTATGTGGCCTCAAATCAGACAGAGCTCCCTGGCAGCTCCCATCCGCTCTGACCTAGGAATACATTTGGAGAAGAAGCACAAAACAAAATGTAATCCAGATCTTTGTTCTATTATTTTCCTTTCAATATATACACACTTTTAAAAAAAAATTCTGGGTTGTACTTCCTAATACTCTCCAGGGACTTTATGCCCACCGAGGCTAAACCACACCAACGCTTCTTCTGGAGCAGCCACAGGTCGGAAATGCTCTGGAGGTATTGTTCAATTGAGTAAAACTCTCTCTCAGCCCACGTACACAAACACACACACACACACACGTCCTGCAGTTGACAGCATCCGAATCTTGGGCGTAGGTTTTAGGCAGGAAGTAGCCTGTGAGAGGAGCTGGGAGTGAGCCACGTGATACACATCTGGGGATCCCACAGTCAGGGCCAGCACCCACCGTGAGGTAATCCTTTCTATATTTGACAGACCCAAATCCTGACCCGAGATGGTGGCTAATGAGGCCTTCTTTTCCAGAATCAAGGGCACTTTGAAAATGAGAATCACCAGCTCCCTGCTGTACTTTCTAGGTGCAGCCTGCAAATCTGAAAGTTCAGCGTGGTGGGCATAAAGATTCTTCAAAGGCAGGCACTACAGTGGGGGTGCTACCTACCTACCACACAGGCTCCCTTCCTGATCCCAGCGCCTGCACCAGCTGAATCACAAGTGAATTGTAGACAGGTGTGAATCAAGTGTTTATTAGCAAAGAAGGAAAAACCAAAATATTCGTATGGGGGGGTGGGGCCTGAAATAGTGTCTATTTCTCTCTTAGGGTTTCTATTGTTGTGATACACATCATGAGAAAAAGCAACTTGGGGAAGAAAAGATTTATTTCACCTCACAGATTACAGTCCATCATGGAAGGAAGTTGTGGGCAGGAACTAAAGCAAGGCAGGAACCTGGAAACAGGAGCTGATACAGAAGCCACGGAAGAGGACTGCTTACTAGATTGCTCCCCATTGCTTACTCAGAATGCTCTCTTATAGCGCCTGGCACCGCCAGCCCGGGCAAGGGAGGCAGCACCAGCAGTAATCCCACAGACTGGCCTGTGGTGCGTTTTCTCAATTGAGATTACCTCTTCACAAATGACTCTGGTTTGTGTCAGGTTGACATAAAACTGGCCAGCATGACTGAAGTTCACATTTAAGTGCAGGAAGCCAGGGACAGCCACAGTGTGCTTAGCCATATTCAGAACACCCCTGTTTCTCATCGCTCCAGCACCACGTTGATTTACCTTTATCCGTGACTAGCATCCACCTAACAACTAAGATGAAAATACACATCATTTTAGTGGCATGCCAATTAAGAGTGGATCTATAGCTATGTATAGCAGGTTGCATATGCAATATTGTTCTGTGCATTCCAAGTGTTCCAGCCCTGCGAGGCCAAGGATACTACGTTGTGCTGACTTTTCAATCATTCATCAGTAATCTGTATGCAAAAATCAGTAAATATGTCAAATGGCAGTAGAGTTCACTGAGTTTCAGAGCCAGACTGAATTCAAACCCTAGATATGATATCTGCGCCTCCGTTTCCTCCTTGTAAAACATAGAGCCTCATAATGGCATGTGTTTTCCGTTAGCGGTATGGTCTTCATGGCACCTTCTTCCTATGGCTAGTCCAGACTGTTTGGGCAGTTTGGCAACCCTATGTCAATCATTTCCTATCCTCAGCACTCCAGTTGGCAGATCCTGTCCTCCACTTCCATGGTGACTAAAAAGGGCCTTTTGTGGTTGACTTTCCCTCACTGAGTCCTACCATGTGCTTAAATTTGATAATGCCACTGTTCTGGTTAGCTTCCTGTTGCTGTGATAAAACACTCTGACCTAAAGTAACCTGGGAAGGGAAGGGTTTATTTGACTTACACACCATTCCCAATCTATCATTGAGGGAAGTCAAGGCAGGACATAAAGGCATGAACTATGGAGAAACATAGTTTGCTGGCTAGATCTCTGCTTAGCTCATACTTGGCTATCTTCCTTATATGGCCCAGGACCACCTGCCCAGGAAATGGTATCTCCCATTGTGGTGGGGGACGGGGGTCCTGCATTAATTATCAATCATGGATATGCCCACAGACTAACCCAATAAGCATAATTACTCAACTGAAACTCCTTTTGCAGGTGATTCTGGGCTGTGTGGAGTTGTCAAGTTGATCACTCACACACTCCAGATACTGGGAGGGCGAAGGGAGGAGAAAGAGGGAGCAGAGCATCCTGGGGAAAGACAGGCAACGTTTCTGCTAAAGGAAATAAACTAAGGGAGAGTCAACCCATTTGAAGCGACATTGAAAGTTAAAAGCCCTAACTGTGAAGTGGCCCTGATAAGAGTATAGTGAGAGAGTTTCCTCCAGTGGTATCAGCTCCCCGGATGCACAAATGTAGTGAGCTCCAGCAAGCTGGGGTGTCTCTTCTGAACAATCAGTGCCAAGAAAAATGAGGGAGTGGGTGACTAGGAGATCAGTCTCTTGACCATGGGCCCTGTCTAAAGAAATGACGGTGAAACGAGATGGGCGATGGGAAGAAGGGCGAGCAGTGGCTGAAGGTCTCCCTGGTTTCTATCTGGTAAATGTCATGTGCTCTTCCACTGTGCAGCTTTGGGCTCCTCAGAGAGCAAGCCGTGAGATGGGCATTTACTGCAGTGCAGATGGTTTATTTGGGAGGCAGTTCAAGGAAGCATGGGAAGGGAGAGAGGAAATGGGCAGGGAAGGGAAGAAAGCCTGAGGTTCAATTCCATGGTGAGAAGACCCACTTAGAGGTCTCAGTGGGCCCACAGAGGGACAGAAAGCTGTGGTATTTTCCACTAGCATGTTCCCGCCACCCCCACCCCCATAATTGCCATTCCTGAAACATTCATTCTCGGATGTTTCTGGCCCTCCGGAAACACTTGGATAGAAACAGGACTTGTCTGCAAGTGAGCAAGCACCAGGTTAGAGGATGTGAGCCCAGGGCCAGCAGCAGCAGCTCTACAACCCCATATTGGAGATATAAAAACAGGAGTGATGTGACGCTGTCTCCAAGAAGCCCAAGACAGGCACAGAAACACAACCAACCACAGAAAGTACAGTAGGCAGTAGGACACCAAGCCATGGGCCCGGGGCTGGAGGGCTTCGGAGGAGGGACAGGCCTGAGGAGCTGGGGACCTGCCACAAGGCTCTTGTTTTCCTAAAGAGTAAGTGGGGGGGTTGACAAATGAAGAAAGGGAGATAGGGTATCAAGTCATAGTTTACGTGAGAGCCACATCAGCAACGTCAAAGTTCAGCAAGCTGCAAGTTACTGATGAGGCTTTTATTTGTGAAGAAAGGGGCCTGTTAAGGTCGCTGAGGCAAGTGTGGGGCTCATTGTTCAGTATCCCAGAATCTTATGGAGACTCAAGAATACTGGCCACTGGAATGAAGGACCCGCACCCCACCTCAGCAAAGACATCATCTGGGAAGTTAGAGTTGAGCTAAGTCAGTCTTCACAGGGAGCAGCAAGCTTGAAATACACACACACACACACATACACACACACACACACACACACACACACACACACACACACACACACACACATACTTTTTTTCTTTTAAAAATGAGTAAGTGAAAGGAGGTTGGAGAAGTTCTTGAAAGGGGAGGGTGGCAGACATGGAAAGTCCCATGTGGGAAATGTATCCATTCTGGGTACTGGAGTCAAATGTGTGTAGTTCCCACAACTTCCTGGGACGATGTGGTTGCAGGAGTAGTCATGACATTGAACAGTAAGTGAAAAAGGAGATGTGAAGCAGAAGTCAAGAAACCAACTGGCCAGAGCAATACTAGAGCCAAAGTCAAGGGTGTAGTGTTCACAGAAATATTTCATACTACAAATGCATAGTATATAACTAAATGTTCCATTTAAAAGACGCCCTAGCCCAATATATCATACTGGCGTTTTTTCTACTCTATACTATGCTGTTTACTCTGTAGTAGTGGTTATGATACTAAATTCATTTCATAAGCTACATTAATAGGCACAGCCATCAGCAGGCAAAGCACTGGGCCAGAGAATTGATGAATCTGTGTGGAAGTTAAAGATTTTCAGATGAAGAGAACAAAGAGGAGCCTGCTGCTGCCAGAGTCATTGTGTTGTGCATGTGAGGAAAAGTGTGGTTCAGGGCAGAAAGCCCCAGAAGAGGAAGAGAAGAGAGATTGCCACCTGGGAGAGCTTTCCAGGGAG